GCAAGTTTGTCTGTTAGGCCTGAATGGTTGATTACAGCGAAAGCCGTAACCCATCTCCTTTTAAGAACTCTAATAATTGAAAATACCCGGTCTAAAAAGAGTTCAAATAAACAGTGTCTCAAAAAAAGTTGTTAAGTTTGTTAAGTACTAGAACAACGGCCATCTTGGGAGACCACTAAACGTTTGCCTGCGAAGCCTTTGTCATTGGAGTATCGTCACTGTACATAAAAGAGGAGGTTTTATCAATCTACTTATCTCTCGATCTATGAAAGCAGAAGAACCTATGGTTTTCTATGATCACTTAATTTTTTTCTCTGGTTTTCTCCAAAATGCAGGGATCGTCCCAGAATGAAGTGCACAAATAAGAACAGGAACAAACAGAAAAATCGGCATCATGATCATTTGAATATGTTATTTAGCATTGTCAAATCCTATTGTTTGTGTTGCTGCGAAGTTCTCGGACCTCAGCTTTTCTTTCGACTTCACATTGGGATTATTTCCCCCGCAGACCAATTGCCTAATTTCATACCGCGCAGGGGCCTGGCACTACCGGATTTTCCCGGACTTCTCAAAAAGTACAGTTTCAAAATGGCGGATAGTCAGAGTAAAAACTCGAACGAAAGCATCCTTTTTGGAAGAAATATTGATCAATATTCCCTCGGAGAATCTGTCTAAGCTTAGTAAGGAAAGGATGCAGTATTTCTGCCATGCCCTGAAGTTAAATTTTTCGATGAACAGGTCCGCACGAACCGAAGATGATTATAAATTTTATACAGCAAAGGATCCTTTAATTCTACCTGCATCTATAAAGTAAAGGATCATTGGCAAGAACAGGGATGTGATTGTGTACGTACCGATCGTAACTTAGTTATGCTGGAGCAAAACTCAAAAGGGCAGTATAGAAGGGCTTACCTGGATTATTCCCGTCGCGGAAAAGAGTTAATATGCCCACGTGAAAGGTACTGAGTGTAGTGAACTTTGTGGCGTTATGTATGTTAAACCCAGTGTTCTTAAATCACAGGCAGGGAGAATAAGGGACTAGTTTAAACTCAGTGCATGCTAACCAAAAGGTAGATGTACGTGACATTCTTGATTGTGATTACAAGGTGATTGCCCAAATTGTAAACATGCTCTTAGACCCAATAAGTTCCAAAACGGGGGCAGCTAAACAAGTGAGCCCTTGTAAGCCGTTGCCATTTGACATTTTATCATTGAATTTATACATGGCTTGAGTAGTGTCTAAATTACTAGAATTGCAATGTCACTGGATGGTACAGAATCGCACACACAGTGGCCTCACAAAGAAGCTATACACAGTTTATCCCTCTAAGAAAAATACTTGTGTATTGTAACATTGCTCAATGCACGAGGTCTGGTCACAGGAACCGCAGTGTTACCGGACGAGAAATGCCACTCAAGTAGGACTGAAGTATACTTACCTTTATCTATGTTCAGTGAGATAGCTTAAAGGGGACCATACAAGACAAATCTTGTGGCATTATATTTATTATAATCTTTCAACTTATAATAATAATTATAATAATGGTAATAATATAATAAGTAAAAATAATAAGTCTTTATTGAAGG